TTAGTCCAATTGATAATTATACAAGTGAACAACTCCCTGCTGATGTTAGAGGACCTGTAATGGTAACTATGCAATTTCAAATAAAACAGTGCGAAAGGAATCGGGTGTAATGGTAGGGAGATGTTGGAGCATTTGGGGTGGGATAAATTATGTTATTAGATAAAGAACATTTCTCTGCAGTGTGCTAGCCCTCAGTCAGTCTGCTCCTTGTTGTTCTCTCTTGAGAAGCTGCTCATATTCGAATGCTGAGCTCTGCATTCGAATGACAGAATTTTTTAAGCTGCATCAAGTGTGATTTTCAGACAATCACAAGCAACCACTGAAAGCCACTGCCGCCCTGCCAACTGAGACACCAGAAATGGGCTCTATTTGCTCAAATTTAATTCCCGTGTCAGGTGTGAACACTACTCCACCCACAGGGAATGACAAATTGAAACTTCCCGTAGCCGCCGTAGGATGGCACTCCCTTGGGGAAAGCGGGGCACAGTAGCTTTAGATTGTCTCCTTTCTCACTAGAAAGCAAAAGCATGCTGTGTAGTCTGCTAACATCATATTAGAGAACTTCAAGATCCCCAAGTTCATTTTTTTGTACAGTTTGTCTGCAACCTTTGTGTGACATTGCCAAGGGCAGCTTTAAAATAGAAAACATTCCCCTTACATCCATCCCCTGCTAGGACTCACAGTGTATTTCAGGTCTGTCCTGTGGTACGGTTCACATGACTGAGATGGCTTTGAATGCATTTCTTTTGCTGTCGCACAGCACAGCTGCAGAATATTACAATACAGAGTGCGCTCAAACAATTTGCTGTGGATGAAAACAGGCTAGAGGCATGGAGAGCGAATGTACAATATGCCTTGCAAATGCAAACAGTAGCTCTGCTGAATGTAGCGCAGAGATGACTGTATAAAGCCACGGTGACTCATTTCAAATTCCCCCCCAGATAGCGTTCCATGATGCCCTCCTTCTTTACTGCAAACACAGAGAAAATGGTGAACATCAGAGGACTATTACGACCCCATAAGTACTGTACAGTAATGCGGGATTGTGTGAGCTTTAACACTCAAGCACATTCCCTCTCAGAAAATATGATCACGGCATCAGGCAGAAAATAGAAAGGGACAGAAGTCCGAAGGAACATAACTCAAATCATTTACACCACTCTGCCAATGATGGAGCAGTTTCAAGCCCAGAGATTTCCGCAGAGAAAATAACAATGCAGAAATACACTGAGTAGTGCGCTACAGTCAACCACAAGGGAGGTCAAAGCTGACGGCTAGAAAGAATTTATATTCGGGGAGTTATGAAATATGAGCTTTGTGTGCTGCCAAATTGATTTAGCTGTAAAAATTCTTTTCATTTTGTTCCATAAAGATGCTCATACTTTTAAAGCCCCACCGCCTATATAAGCAGGTCTCAATGATTTGCTTACAATTTACAGCCAAGGTCATAATCAAAGTAGGTCTCCCTTTGCATGCCTAATGCCGCCTTGAAGAAGACTGGAATGGAAATCATTCTTTTCACTTCAAAAAGTCAGTAATTCTCTGGTACTCTGATTAGTTTAATGCTTGGATGGATAGGCCCTGCTCTCTGAGTTAAAAGAGAATACCAACCAAAGATTTTGAATTTTATCTCTCTGGTGCACCATGAAGATTTGCTTTCTCATATACATCGGGGGGAAATGACCATGATAGGATACAGAATAATTCATCAGGAGTAAAATCGGTCTGGTTTTGATACTTGAACCGCATGAGCCTGTTCTCTGTACAGTCTCGGTGAGTCACATCAAAATGTAGTGACACGGGCCACGGACGTGGCTCATAAATGTGCTGTCAACCGCGTCGACAGCAGAGCAGGGTGACAGGATAGATTGTTGCACTCACTGGATTATTCAAACAAACCAAAATGACACGTTAATCATGACACGTCACATGCGCTGTATAGAGAAGCACTTTCTGTACAAAAAAGAACACCAAGATCAGGAAATCACCCTGTGGTTTCATTTATTTGGGTTGTCCACCTTCTCTTGTATTAAATATATTTTTCTTTACATCATATGTTTCTGTTTATTTTTCAGAGTCACATTCAGTGTTCAACAGGTTTAGATCCGCTAACCAGCAGATAAAATGAATTTGGAGTCTCCTCTCAACCAGAGCTGTTGAATGGAAGAGTCACGTCATCTTACTTCACCATTATTATTATTTTTACAGCAATGGCGGATCACGGAGACTCACAGAAGTTTAGCAACGGGGGTTAGCAACTTATGCTAGCTGCACCATAGAGATATAGCAGCACAGAAGTCTGAGATGTCTTTTTAAAAGTTAGTTAAACAAAAACAAGGCTGTATGTTTTAAGCGTACATTCCAACTGCCCGCTAAGCACTTGCAGGAACTGATTACCCCGAATTCAGAACCCCCGCTGACTGGACTGTCTTACTCAATGGCTCTGCTTTCAACCCTTTTTAGAGTTCCATCTTCTACTGAGAAAAACAGAGGTTCAGCTTTCTTCACCAACTTGCTGCTAAGTTTGTCTGCTGAGCAGTGTTGAGTGCTGTCATCAGAGCTTTATAGATGAAGGCAGTCACCCACTGCTATTTGCAATCAGACTAGTCTCAGAAAGATTCGAATGCTTGAAAACCCAAACAGCGCATATAAAGAGGCCAAAAAGATGAATGAAAATGAAGGCGAGAGCTGCTAAATCGGTTAGCTACTACAACCGTTTCACATAATCATCTGTGGTAAAATGAGAAATTATGACAGCTTAAACATCCTTAATGGGAAATCCAAAGAAAAGATACCACACTACACATGCTGATAAGTAATCTATGGAAAGAGCAGCTGAGAAACACAGAAATGATTTTGCTGTTGCATCAAAGATGAATAAAGATTTAAGAAGTCTCATCTGAGCAAATTATTCCAAATTAATGATTTACTGCCATGGCAACAGAATTCTGTCAGATGAGTTAGAGCAAAGGCCAACTATCCCTTCACCTCCAGCGAATAAATGTGGGTAAAAATGCAGCACTCCACCCTCCCTTTTCATACTAACTCCGAGGTTTGTGGGTGACAAAGCAGAGATGTGTCACCGCTGCTCCCTGGCTGCACCACTGAACCGGAATGTGGCCCAAGTACGGAAATCCCAGACAATTCCAAATTTATTGTTGAATAAACTGGCAACATTGAGAGCAGCCGACAGGCCATTTATTGTGACCGACGGTGGCCCAATGGCGTGCATGGACAGAGCTGCTAGGCTTTGATTTCCTGTCCTGGTTGCCATGACAGATGGGCTATGAAGACGGTGGAGGCAGCACAGCCTCTAACCTCAAGTTAGTCCTGCTCGCCAGTTCACCGGCACACAGTGTGGCTCTCAAGCCCTCAGGGGCCATACTGGCCGAGCTTTTCATGGAAAGTGAACAGTGCTTTGACTCTAACAGTGATGCTTAGCTATAAATGCTAAAAGAAATACTGCAAATGAATCTTGTTATATTTTTAGACTGTAATGCTAAAGAAATCAGAGCTGCTTTTATGAGTGCAGTAACTGGTCAGTGCAGCCAGTTTCAAATGACTTGGTTTTGATGATTACACATCTGCATTTTATAT